TGGCAGGCCCAGGGCTGGGTTCAAACCCACCACCTCTGGTGTATGTGGCTGGTGCCCTAGCCACTGAGCTACAGGCACCGAGCCTTGCTTTCTTATTTAAGTGTTTCCTTTGGCTTCTTTCTTCCCTCTTTCTTTAGCTGGATGGCAGAGAAAGTACCATGAGGGTACACAGAAGCACCACAGATACCTTGGTGGTTCTGGAACATTAGGAAAGCAAACCTTTTAAAAAGCAGCTTTGCTGACATATAATTCATTTGCCATTAAAATCACCCTCGAAGATGCATAATTCAGAAGTTCTTGGCTTTTTTAAAGAGTTGGACAGCCATCACCACAATCAAATTCAGAACATTTTCGTCCCCCCAACATGAAACCCCCAGTTCCCATTAACATCGCTCCCCATTCCCTCCATCCCTCTCACCCTAGGCTAATCCCATCTACCTTCTGCCTTCATAGATTTGCCTCTTCTAGACATTTCACGTAAGTGGAATCATACAACACGTTAAGTTTTGTAACTGGCTTCTTTTGCTTAGCGTCATGGTTCAGCGTTAATCTGTATTATAGCATGTATTAGATCTTCATTTCCTTGTATTTGCTAGATAACATTCCATTGTATGAATCTATCACAGTTTATTTATCATTCGATGGATACTGGATTGTTTCCACTTTTTGGCTTTTATGAATAACGCTGCTGTGAACATTTGTGTACAGGTTTTTGTGGGGATGCATGTTTTCATTCCTACTAGCGAAACTGCTGGGTCATGTTTCACTTTTTGTAGGAACTGCCAGATTGTTTACTATTGAGTTTTGAAAGCTCCTTATGTAGTCTAGTTACTAGCCCTTTGTTGGATATGTGATCTGTGAATCTTTTCTCCCAGTCTGGAGCTTATTTTTTGATCTTTTAATAGAGTCTTGGTAGAGCAAAAGTTTTTAAATTTTAATGAAGTCTACTTTGCAAGTTTTTCCTTTTAAGGATTATGCTTTTGGTGGCAATTCTAACTTTAGGTCTCAAAGATTTTCTCCTCATTTTTTTCTAAAATTTCATATTTTTGTGTTTTACATGTAAGTCCACGATCCATTCTGAGTTAACTTCGTTGATGAGGTATGAGCCACAGGTCAAGGTTCGTTTTTTGCCTGTGAATGTCCAGTTGCTCCAGCCCGTGTTTTGAAGAGATCGTCTGTCTTCCATTGAATCGATTTTGCATGCCTCTCTAAAATCAGTGGGCATATTGGTGTGTGTCTATTTCTTAGTCTCTATTCTGCTATGTTAACCTACATGTTTATTGCTCTGCCAAAGCCATGTAGCTTTAAATACTTTATGTAATAAGTTTTGAAATAGGGTAGACTAATATTTTTTTCCTGCTTTATTCTTTTTTTGAAATGGTTCTATTCTAGTTCCTTTATCTGTTTTGTAAATTAGAATAATTTTGTTTATATTTTCAAAAATCTTGCTAAGATTTTGATTGGAATTGCATTAAACCTGTTTAGCAATTTTGGGAGAATTGATACCTTTCTTATGTTGAACCTTGAATAAGTATTTTGAAGGCTTTTGGTGATTTCTCAGGATTTTACAAGTAACCAATCATTTTATCTTGAAAGAGGGTGTATTAGGGTTCTCTGGAGAAACAGAACCAATATAACAGGGGAGGTAGGTCAATAGCTAGGCAGGCCGATAGGTAGAAACAGAATCACTATAAGAAATAATAGATGGGTGGATGGATGGACAGATGAAATGGAATTGGGGGACTGGTTTACATGGAGGCTGAAAAGTCGCATGACAAGCCATCTACATGTGGGAGACCCATGGAAGTCAGTGGCAGGGTTCAGTCCAAGTCTGAAGTCTTCAGACTAGAGAAGCCAGTGGTTTGACTCTCAGTCTGAGGCTGAACCTGGGGCCCCTGAGGGCAAGGCCTGGAATCCAAATGCTGGGGAACATGTCCAAGGGCAGGAGAAGAAGGATGATGTCCCAGCTCTGGGAGAGGGAAGGGATTCACCTTTCCTTTGATTTTTTGTTCCACCGGGGTTCTCAACCCATTGGATGGTGCCTGCCCACATTGAGAGCAGATCTTCCCCCCTCAGTCCACCAATGTACAGGCCTGTCTCCTTAGGGTACACCCTCACAGACATACCCAGAAATAATTCTTTACCTGATGTCGAGGTGTCCCTTAATGCAATCAAGTTGTCCCCTAAAATTAACAGTTACACAGGGACAATTATGTCATTCTGTCCAGACTGTTATGTGTTTATTTCCTTTTGTTGCTTTGTTGCATTAGCTAAAACTCACAGGAGAACTTCCAGTGTTAAGTGAGGGTGGTGAGTGTGGACATCTTTGCCTTATTCCTGATTGTAGAGTAAAAGCATTCAGATTTTCATCATTAAATATGATCTTAGCTATAGGTTTTTAGTAGATGCACTTTATCAAGTTGAGGATGTTCTCTTCTATTCCTGTTTTTCTTACGGATTTTTGACTGGATGCTGAATTATGTCAAATGATTGACATGATCATGTGAGAATTTTCTTCTTTAGCCTGTTAATGTTTTGGATTATACTTACCGATTTTGGAAAACTAGACCCCTTGCATCCCTAGAATAAGTCCCACTTGGTCATGGTGAATAATTCTTTTCATATGTTGCTGAATTCTATTTTGTTATGAATTTTTGAGGCTGTATGAGATAAATTGGTTTGTAGCTTTCTTTTTTGTATTTTCCTTTTTCTGTTCAGCTTTTTATAATTTTTACTTTGTTTTGGAAAGGATCTGTCAAAGGACTGGTTTTAGTATAATGGGTCTTTCAACCTCAGTTACTTTGAGATGTTCATGTTTGCTCGTTAAGTTATCCCAAAAGGAGCTCTATGGAGGGCTTGGTAGTATTTATAATCAATATTTTGTGATTCCATGATTTCTCATGATTATGCTATAATGTTCTGTGTTACATCCCATCCTAGTCCCAGGAATTTAGTCCCTGGAAAGGACTTACTTGGTGGTAAATTAATATTGGAGTTTGAAATCAGAAGATCTCAATCCTGGTTCCTGAATTTAGTAGCTGTGTTATGTCAAGCAATTACTTAGTCTCTCTGATTAAATGAAATAAATGTAAATGGATTCATAAACTTGGTAATACGTAAATTCCAGCTTTATTTTTATTGAATTATTTTACAGAAAAGGAAAATGCTCATAATGATTGTTACTATCCGACTTGTTTCTTAATATTTTTTCCCTATTTTTTTATCATTTTCAAAATTACCAAATTTTAAGCAAGAAATGAGAGTGGGAGATTTCCAAGATTTGTATTTTGATTTAATAATATGAAATAATTTTTGATTTTGTATTTATGCAGTGTCTCTATTTAGACATATATAGACATATAATGTTTACCTTCTTATCTATTTCTGCTAATTATTTTACTGATAGCTATCTTTAATTAATTAATGCAGTACTATTTTCAGTAAGTCCCCTCCTTTATGTTACAATTTTTCTTGTAAATCCCACAATAAAAATTCTTCTGCAAAGCAGTGCCTTTGTCATTTTCCATTCATGAATGGTCATTCTTTTTTTTTTTTTTTTTTATGAAGGGTCATTCTTTAGCATTATTATTTGTATAAGAGCAACTCTGAACAAATGGTGGTACTAAAATGGCATGTTATGTCTCCCAAATACAGGTCATTAGGGCTTGAACTGTCTACTCGTAGGTCCATTTCTGGATCTTTCATGGTGATCACTGACTATGATTTTTCCTTTTTTGGTAAATCTGAGATAGCAAGGCTGAATTTCACATTGAAATGTTTAAATTAATATACCTTGGAAGAAAAGAAGTCCTTTAGTCTTTATAGTTTTTGGTCTTTAAAGTTATTTGGATGGATCCTACATAGGCAGTTGTTGAAGTACTTATTAAGATTTGATTAGAAAGTTTCATTCCCAAAGTAAATTCTAATGGTGAGATTTGCTATTGCCGTGATTGAACAATTCCTTTTTTTTTTT